ATGGGATCAATCACAAACAGTGATTTAAAAGGCATGCCTAAGTGCACAGGCGAGGTGCATTTTAGGGTATGCGCCTCGCCTAGGTCCTAGGTGCAGCCCTTTCAAAAGGCGCACACCTAGTGCACCTAGGCATGCGCCTGATGCGCCTTGCACCTCAACCCAGGCATGCACCTTTTGAAAATTTGACACTTTTTTGCTTTTTTTGAACATAGCGGCTGGGTCGAGGGCTCCACCGGCCCCCGGCAGAGAACTCCTTTTTCCATCTTTTGTCCACTCTTGATGGTTTCCCCCTTCCTCTTAGAGTCTTTGGTTATGCATGTGTTTTTTTTTTTTTTTGATAAATGTCTTTGGTTATGTATGTTTCATCCATGTCAAGGATCCTAAGAAGACATAGTTAGATCCTAGGGCTATATGGGATGTCTTTCTTGGGTATTCTCCTACACAAAAGGGCTACAAGTGTTATGATCTAGTTACCAAGAAAAGGTATGTCACCAAGGATGTGGTTATTTTCGAATGTCAGTCTTTCTTCCAAACTCTTAGGAATTCTCATCAAGGGAGACTCGTAGGGTGGAAGAAGATCCCTCTTCTCCTTCTCCTTTTGTGTCGTTCTCCCAACAAACCCAAGTCACTCCATTTCTGATGCTTTACACCTATTCCTGACTTGGATCTTCCCATTGCTCTTCGTAAGCCTATTCATTCTTGTACCCTACAACACCCCATTGCTAAATATGTTTCTTATTCTCGTTTATCTCCCCATTATTACTCTTTTGTGTCTTCTCTTCCTTTTGTCCATGTTCCCACTAGGTACTCTGAGGTTGTATCTGATCCAAAATGAAGATAACCAATTAACGAGAAAATAAAAGCCTTGGTGAAAGCCAAGACTTGGGAATTAATGGATCTACCAGAAGGTAAGAGCACAATGGGGTGTACATGGGTATTCACTATGAAACATAAGGCAGATGGTTCATGTTAGTGGTGTTAGTGAAGGGGTATTTCAGTCTTTGTACTTGTTGAGAATGCTGATGTGTACTGTTATATTAGTTCGAGTGCCTCTTACTTTAAGAAGGGCACTCAAGTCTTTTCCAATAAGTTAATAATATAATAACAGGTCTAGCCGAATCAAGGGATCAACTTTTTCCCTAATTCGAACCAGCCTTTCTCTCTTTTCTCTCTTCTCTCTTTTCTTCTTTCCTCTCCTACTTCTTGCTGTCTACTTTACTCTACAGTCAACGAACAAGACAGAATTCTATGGCAGGTCAAACTTCAACAGTTCAGTTGAAAGATATAAGGGTAGGTTGGTGGCAAAAGAGTTATACATAAGGAAGGGATTGACTACAAGGAGAATTTTGTACTGGTTTCCAAGCTCGACACTATTTGGGTTCTATTGTTCTTAGTTGCAAATTTCTCTTGGGAGCTACACCAATTAGATGTAAAGAATGCATTATTGAATGGAGACTTACATGAGTAAGTGTTTATGAACCCATACCTGGCTATGACTTCTAGGGAAAGGTTTGTAGACTAAGGAAAACTTCATATGGGCTAAAGCAACCTCCTCAGTCTTGATTTGAGAGGTTTTGTGGAGTTATGAAGAATGTGGGATACACTTAAAGTGGGGCTGACCATTCTTTGTTCATAAGGAGATGGGGTGATATGCTTACAACACTTACAGGCCATACTGAGATACTTCCTTGGGACTGAAGTTGCAAGATCACAAGAAGGCATATATATGTTGAAGAAAGTATTTGCTTGATCTGCTAAAGGAGACAGGTATGATGGGGAGTAGACCAACAGATACACCTATGGAGCATAATCATGGTCTAAAAGAGTCCATTGGTGAGAACTATTCCAACAAGGAAAGGTATTAAAAGTCGGTAGCAAACTTGATATGCTTGTGCCTTACCTGACTTGATACAGCTTATGCAGTTGCAGTATATGTGGTAAGTGAGTTTATCCATGCTCCCAAGATTCTCCACATGAAGGCAATTGTGAGGATCCTTAGATATTTGAATACTTGTCCGGGGAAGGGAATTCTGTTTAAGAAGCACAATAAACTTGAGATAGAAGCATATGCAAATGCTGACTAGGCAAGACCGAACAGGGACACAAAGTTTACATCTAATTGGGGGGAATTTGGTTACTTGGAGGAGTAAAAAACAAAATGTGATTACTAGATTAAGTGCATAAGTTGAATGTAGGGTCATGGCCCATGGTGTTGCAGAGTTATTGTGGCTCAAGTCTCTTTTGGATGAGCTGGGAATGAAGGTTGATTGTCCTCTTAAGTTGTATTGTGACAACAAGGCGGCAATTAATATTGCTAAAAACCTGATACAGCATGATAGAACTAAGCACATTGAGGTTGTCCAACACTTTGTGAGAGAAAAAATTGTCTCTAGTGATCTTTGCATTCCCTACATGGCCTTAGAGATGCAGATAGCTAATGTTCTGACAAAAGGCCTTCCTTCAATAAAGTTTCATGGTTTACTTGGCAAGCTGAGCATAGATGGTTAGTACCAAAATTCTCCTGCATAGCTTTCTTCCTACTCTCTTCACCTTGAACCATGGCATATACCTGACCATGTGTTGGAAGGGCATCTTTATTAGAATTTGTAGTTTAGAGAACCATATTGGAATGGCCAGTCCAACCAGAAAACTATGAACCAGTCCACTGGCCAGTTTGGTCAAGATGTAAAAACCAGTGGTGGAAAAAAAACAATCATTCAAACCAGAAAAGCAATGAACCAGTCTCGGTTTCAAAATGCCAGTCAGTTTTTACTCATTTTTTTAACTTCCTCCTAACAACTGAAGGTCATAGCTTTCCACTTAGTTGTCCCATTGCAAGATTGCATCATATTGGTAAAGCATTTGAGCTACCATAATATTCTCATCAATTTAGATTCAAGGCTGCTTGTAGAGATCCTACATGGAGAACTTGACTGGCTGTGGCTTCTCTGGTATGTTCTTTGCAATATTAAGGAGGATCTGTTGGGCATGCACTGGAAGATGGAAAATATTTATAGACAAGGTAATTGTGTAGCGGACACTTTGGCCAATGTGGCTTGTGATACTTGCATAGATCCTACTTTTGATGACATCTCTCTTCTATATGATTCCACGTTTGCAGCGCTTCATCATGATAGAATGGGGCTTCCATTTTTGCACATCACATAAGTCTAGGCTATTTTTTGTTTCTTTTTAGAGATCTTCAAACCCTTTCCTTGTATATCTATGAGCTAAAGATCTTTTTGTATAGGATAGCGTGTCAATGGGTTGACTGGTTTGACCTAGCTAGTTGAATTGGTGACCCGTGACCTGAGGGGAAAAACGGTTCTACCTCTGGGTCATTTCTCTAAGCATTGATTTGTACCCTAACCAATTCATAATCCAAGTTCAACCTAGCAAGGAATTCAAATATACAATTTTGTTCCACTTTCTTCTTCTATTCATCAAGGCTATGTTTGGTTTGAAGGAAAAGGTAGGGAAAGGAAGGGAAAGACAGGAAAACCTATACAAGGTTTGTAAAGATTCCCTACCTTTCCCTTCCTTTCCCTGCATTTTCCTTTAAACCAAACATAACCCAAGTGTACGCTCAGGCTTGAACATTTAATAATGATCCCTCTCTTCCTACATGCTTGAAGAGATGCATAGTAATCTGCAAGAGACCTCTTCCCCTGACGAAGGTGAGCTAGATCCTCTACTAACAAGTAGAAGCATCAACAATAGAAGCCATGACATAGGGGCAATTATGTTTCATTAGGTGTACCCCATAGGGGCAATTTTGTTACCCCATCTTGTTTAAGTTGCATTTAAGTGTCTCTGCACTTATTAGGGACAGAACAATCATTGCACTCAATGATTAGATTATGAAATGTGTTCAAGACGAGGGTTTTGTCAGAATTCTTCTTCACCAAGGATGAAGTTCAGGTTTTAATGCACATTTCCATTTTTTTCATTAAAGTCAAACTGGATTGGCTATTGGAGAAGCTCAAGTTCCAAGTTATTTACCTTTAACTAGTACTTTTTCCCAAGCAGTTCATTGGATATCTATGCATAAGTTATTTTCAAAGATTATAAATAACAAACATGACAGGGGCTCACATTTTATGGGTTTTCAAAGCACTATGAGTAGAGGACATAAATAATTTCATAGAACTATGGCTTTAGAAATCAAGGAAGCCTTAAGAAAAATGTAGGAAAGAGTATGACATCTAATGGTATTCCAATAGAAGTTTAGAAGTCCATGGGTGAGATGACTTGGGTGGTCTTTTTCTTTTTTATCACTAGAAAATAATTTTATTAAGGCAATCTTGAAAATAACAATAGGTTGGCAGTAATTTCCACCCCAAACAACAGGAGTATACAATTTTTCCCAAAACATTTCTTGTCTTGGGTGGTCTTATTATCTTAGTGAGATCAGTTTGTGGCCACCAGATTAGGTTTAACTGGATTTGTTTGAGGGTAACCAGGGGATTCACACCTCTAATATTGATATGAATATCCATTATGACTGGACTGTAAAATTAGCTTTTCGAATGGCATAAGTCACCATCCGGTGCATTTGTTTTGTAGTTAACTGCTGCCATTGTGGACCCATCATCCAATGTGTTAAACCTTTGGAGTCCTCACCCATTTAGCACATGTATAGAAGGGTTTCAGCTGCACTCACAAACCATGGAAGAACACGCAGATTATATTATTTCCTTTTACTGTTTATGTATTACCTAGATCGTGAGCATCCTGCCCTCTTTTTACTCTTATTGACTATTAGATAATATCGCCAAGAAGTCACAGTTATAAATTGACCAAACTAAAAAGTTCTGGCAAACTAGAACCTTAAATGTTAACTCCAAACCCTGTACCCAACAAATTATTTTCCCTTGCATTTGTAACAGTAACATATGCATCTGCCTAAGTGACAAAGAAGCATACAAATGGTGAAAATAAGAAGTACTCCTTTCAAATTTCTACTAACAGTAAGATGAATAAAAAAAAAAAAAACAAACCGCATTGTTGAAGAGCACGACACCAAGACCAGTAACAAGACCGACGACACAGGCGGCAATGACCCCAAAATTCTCTTCTGAAATAGTTTCTTCTATCGCTGTTGCAACGCCTCTTAGTTGTACCTTGTCGAACTCCATCTCATTCCATTCTTGCTTCGTGCCTCTTCCCTTATCGTCGCCATGGATGAAACCGTCCTCGTCGTCTTTGCAGCTTTCTCTGTCGGACTCTTCTGTTCTAGGAAGGCTGGAAGGAGGAAGATGAATAAAACCCAGAACGGGTTTTGTGCCGAAACGGGGGTAAGTGCTGTCTCGATTATGGTTTATGAGTTTGATTGAGGGTGAGTTGATGCAGAGAGAACTCAGAAGCGAAGGGGAACTTAGGTAAAAAGGTGCATAGCGGAAGGGACACTTGGAGCAGAAGCAGCTGGCCATTCCCATATTTTCCGATATTCTCTAACTCGCTCATCCGCTCAGTGACTCGCCCAACGAAGAGCCAAAGTTTTGAATTAGGACTGGTTAGTTATTCAATTATTCAACTCAACTTCGATGCAGGTTTTTTTATTGGTAACTAAACTTCGACGCAGGTTGGGTATAAGAACTTGCCACGTAGTTGGAATAGAAGCGGATAAGGAAAGTTTTGACTTGTAGTTGTGGTCGTTCTTTGTTTGCGTGGCTTGGGCACAGACAGAAAGCACGTCTGGTCTTCGAGGGGAAAAAGTCTGACTTTTTTTTTTTAATCAAAAAAGGAATTCATTAACTGGAAAAACCGAGATTACAAGTGAACTGAAACACCGGAGTCGGTAGTCTGTTCGGTTGTAGCCATAGAGCACAACCAATCTGGACAGTTAAACAAAAAAGAACTTGGTCCGAAAGTACCCTCTTAGCCAAAAAGTGTGCCAATCAATACAGCATCTCTTAACAAAAACAAACTGAAAATCCAGCGCTGCTGCAACTTCGAATATACTACCATGCAATCTTATATCTTATCTTATCTTATATATATTAAAAGGATATGGGTGTTCTCTGCACTCAGGAAACGAGTAGATCCCACGTGCGAGCACCTATTCTTAATAATTAATTACTAATTAATTACAGATTACTGATTATACTAATTAATAGTGTAATTATATCACTAATTAATTACTGTAATAATAATTACTGATTATCGCAGTAATTTAATAAATATATAATTAGTGATTATAATAATTACTGTTATTATAAATATTGTTAATAACTAGATATTTACTTTAATTTTACTTTGAATTAAAATTATAAATATTGTTATTAAAAAATACAGTTAATAAATTTAGTAACCCAATTTTAATAATTACTGATTATTACAGTAATTTAATAAATATATAATTAGTGATTATATTTAATAAATACTGTTATTATAAATATTGTTAATAAATATATATTTACTTAAATTTTACTTTAAATTAAAATTATAAATACTGTTATTGATAAATACTGTTAATAAATATAGTAATTATTGTTACATTCAAAATAATTAAAAATGTTATTAAAAGTATTGTTATTGATTATATTACTAATTAATTACAGTAATTAATTACTGTAATAATATAATTACTGATTATCACAGTAATTTAATAAATATATAATTAGTGATTATAATTAATAATTACTGTTATTATAAATAATGTTAATAACTAGATATTTACTTTAATTTTATTTTGAATTAAAATTATAAATATTGTTATAAAAAATGTTATTGATAAATACTGTTATTTACTTAAATTTTACTTTAAATTAAAATTATAAATACTGTTATTGATAAATACTGTTAATAAATATAGTAATTATTGTTATATTCAAAATAATTAAAAATGTTATTAAAAGTATTGTTATTGATTATTTAATAAAATATTATAATTATTGACTATTACTAATAATTAATAGTATAATTATATTACTAATTAATTACGGTAATTAATTACTGTAATAATATAATTACTGATTATCACAGTAATTTAATAAATATATAATTAGTGATTATAATTAATAATTACTGTTATTATAAATAATGTTAATAACTAGATATTTACTTTAATTTTATTTTGAATTAAAATTATAAATATTGTTATAAAAAAATACTGTTAATAAATTTAGTAACCCAATTTTAATAATTACTGATCATTACAGTAATTTAATAAATATATAATTAGTGATTATAATTAATAATTACTGTTATATTAAAAATAACTAAATAAAATTATTAAAACTATCATTAACAATTATTTAATTAAATTGTATAATCGCTTACTATTATTGATAAATATTGTTAATAACATTCTAACGATCAACTGTTCGACCGTTCGATTTGAACGAATGGCCCGTTTTGACAACAAAAATTACAAGCAAAAAATTACGGAACCATTTTGGCCACCGGTTTTGGAGTCGACAGTTCAATCATCTGGTTCGAACGGACAGTCCGTTCTAACAACAAAAATTATAGGCAAAAAATTGAATTTGTGAGGTCCATTGAGTAGTATCATATGTGTTATGTCATTTGAGCGTGTGACTCATACGACCCGAAAATAGAACCGTTTCGGCCATCGGTTTTTGGATTGATGCTTCGGTCATTTGGTTTGAACGAACGGCTCATTCTGACAACAAAAAATTATAAGCAAAAATTTACGGAACCTTTTTGGCCACCGATTTTTTAAGTCAGTGGGGTCAATGGTTCGAATGCTTAAATCAATGGGTCATTAACCGATTCAATGATTTTTAGCCAAGGACCGAGTCAACGGATAGACGGGTTGATGGTTCCATTCCAGCCCCTATGAAACAGGGCCCCTCCGCTAGTGATGCTAAAAAAATAAAGGCTAATATCATAGACCTTCCTAATTGCATAGTTGGTTAACATTCAAGTATTTGAGTTCGGCTGGGTTACACATTTAACCGTTTAAGAGGCATACAAAAAAATGTAAAGAGGGCTTCCGTCACATTTTTTTTCTACATTTTTAACCTAAAAACTAAAAGAAAAGCTTTAAAGTTATTTATAGTTTTGAACTGCTATTGAACCGAATGGTCAGACCATTTGGCCCAAGAATCGTCTAGACAATCAGTTCCGTTTTACCTCAAATCTAGTTCATGGCCAAAAACCTTTGAAATGGTTAACGATTTTTGGCCATTTTTTTTAATTTTTTTAAATTTTTATATCAAAATGAGCCATTTGTTTGATCAGACGGTTGAATTGTCGACTTGAAGACTGGTGGCCAGAACGGACCAAACGATCGTACCGGAAAAATCGTCCATTTTACCCCAGAACCATTATTTTACCAAAAACCGTTGATTGGTCAACAAATCACAGACCCAAGCATTCAAACCGTCCAACAGTTTTGACTATTTTTTATTATTTTATTATTTTAATTTTTGTTAGAACAGGCCATCCGTTCAATTCAAATGGTCGGTCCGTTCGACCTAGACCGGACCCCTGACTGGTTAGGGGTCCAACGAACAGGCTATTTGTTAGAATTAGACAGCGAACTTATCAAAGGCCCGGTTCTCAGGTAGAATGGTCCAACCGTTCGAATTGAATGAAAGGCTCGTTCTTATAAAAAACATTAAAAAAATAAGAAATGGCCAAAATTGTTGGACAGTTCAAACGTCCAAGTCAGCGGTTTGCAGACCAAATCAACAGTTTTTGTCAAAATAATGGTTCTGGGGTAAAAAGGACAGCTTTTTCGGTTTAACCATCTAGTCCGGTCTGGTCCGTTCTAGCCATTGGTCTTCGAGTCGACAATTTGATCGGCCAAATCAAAAGAACAACCCGTTTTGACATTTTTCAAAAATTTTAAAAATAATTAAAATAAAAAATGGATAAAAATCGTTGAACGGGTCGATGGATCGTTGACCAATTCAAAGGTTTTTGGCCAGGAACCGGATTTAAGATAAAACAGAACCGGTTGTTTGGACGATTCTCGGGACAAACAGCATGATCGTCCGGTTCAACAGTGGTTCAAAAACCATGAATAAACTTAAAGTTTTTCTTTTATTTTTTAGGTTGAAAAAATGTAGAGAAAATTAGTAACAGAAGTTAACACTTCCGTTTTCACTTTTTTTGTACATCACTTAAACCATCTACGTGTTACAACGCAAATGGAAGTGCAGCCCGCATTGTAACATGTAGATGTGTAGCTCAGCCGAACTCCAAGTATTTGCCTTTTTTTCAATGTTTTAAAAACCCATAAACGAAATCGTTTTTCCCTCCTGTCTCTGGCTTAGGCTCAATTAGGGCAACATGTCGGACCGGGTTAGGTCGGGTCGAGGCCAACCCAAGCCCAACCCTAACCCGACCTGTCCAACCCTAACCCTAACTCTAACTAAACTCCTTAAACCCAACCCAACCTTCTTCTCATCTCTTAAAACCTCATAGAATTTCTTGATTTTAAATATTAACTCAGCTTTCACTACATATATTAATCCTATGTTTCATTAGTATTTGTTTGTTGACGTTTTTTTTTTTTTTTTGTTTCTTTTGGTACAAAATTAAGAAAAACAAGTGTTGGAAATGACTTTAGTTTATTATGAGTTATGAGTCTAATGACTTATGTTAGATCTTTTATGGGTGGCAAACAAGAGAGAGGAGATGAAGAATAAAATTTTCAAAAAACATAAAATAATGTTATTAAGTTTTTAGTCTTTCCGATTAGGATCAAGTGAAGTGATTATCTTAAAAGAAATGCATGATACTATAGTGGGGGCTATACAAATATCATGCATTTAAACAAATCAATGTATGTTATATATTACATATAACATATATTTATATATGACATGTACTATAGAGCCAGGTTCAGATTGGGTCGGGTTGCCTAAGGGGTCGATCCTAACCCGATTCGAAATAAAGTCGGGTTCATGAATTTCAACCCTAACCCTAACTCAAGCATCAACCCGGCCCAACCCAACCCAACTTTTACGGTTGGGTTCGAGCCAACCCAGCCCAAGTTGTAGCCTTAGACTCAGCCATCGAATCGTCTACATCGAACTGTTGACCCGTAATGTCATAAATACAATAATAAAAAAGACAAAATTTTAAATTACTTTTATTGTTTAGCTAATTGACAAACTGTACCCTTATTGTTTAATTATTGTCTTAAACCATCCTTACTTTTTTTACTATTGACTAGTTCTGCCCCTCATGTTAGCGTCCGTTAATGTTACACATATAACACCATGTGATGTTTAAATTTTTTTAAAACTCAATATTATCCTCCATCCCACTTTTATAAAATAAATTTTATTATTATATGGATTATTTTACTCCAAAAAAAAATGAATCGTCCCCTTCCTCTTGATGTAGTCCAAAAAAAATGAATGGTCCCCTTCCTCTTGATGTAGCGGCAGAACACCGGCACCCCTCCTCTTTCTCTCTCTCCTTTACCTTTATCTTTCTTCCTAACCAAGGAAGAGGATCACATAACCATAGCCAGAGATCTAGAAAATGAAGTGAATGCAGATCATAAAACTATAGATGACAATCAATCTCTCTAAATCTGGAAATTTAAAGTTACCGCATTGTGACATTTGATGATGCAAAGGAAGCTCAGCAACGATGATGGGCTTGCGTTGGAGAGACGAACGTTTTTCTGGTTTGGGTTTTACTGCTGAACCCGCAGAGACCATGGGTCGAAGATTACATCGTACCCCAAAGCCCCGCTAAGAAA